CTTTGTTTATACACATGACCCTTTCCAAGTAGGTTGAGCAGGCCCTAATGTGCTAACTTTTGCTTAAGTTTTTCTTTAAATTTCTTCAAAGATAATCGCTATAAGTTAAAAATATTTTTCCACCAACAGGCTTGCTTTATATTCTCTTTGATTTGGTCTATTGGAGGAAGTTGCGATACAGACAGTCGTGTTATTTTTGATAATTTCATACGATTAATCATACTGGGAAAAGATGATGAAAACCCATTGCCAGCTTCTGTGGGTAAATGGGAATGCCACTTTGATGAGAAAGGCCTGGTCTATGACTACATGTATGAGGTATGACATAAAAGACTTGTTACAATAAGACATAAAACACAAGCCTTGGATCAGCAGACAAATCTCCTGGGTTTTCATCCTAGAGTTATTTTGACTCCTGTGGTGGTGAGCTTTTTAGTTCCTTCTCTTTAGTTTCTCCTCTTATAACTTGTTGGCAGTATAAATAAATCTGCTTTAGTAATATATTATAATTTCATATTTAAATTAAATCTATGTTCCACTTTATAAAAGAATTCCCCAAAACAGTTTTTAAACAGAAAGCATTTGAATAAACATTTGGTTCATATGAATTTTATTTCACAACCCATGAGATCTAGATAGACCCTTAATTATAATTTTATCTAAATCTCAAGTTTTGTAGATAAAGAAGCAAACCTAGAAAGGTTAGTGGCTAGCAGAGCCAGGACTTGAAGTGTTCTCCTGACTTAACCATATAAGGCTCTTTCTCCAAAACCATGCTAACACAGAATTTTAAGAATATGACCGAAAAGAGTTTCATCTTCTTTAGTCATAGTGGGAAGTCAATAAAGTAATCTCTAAGAGTGAAAAATCAAGAGATGATAGCACAAGTATATGCTTTAAGAATTGAAAGTTGGTGGGAGCGGGGAGGAGGGGATGGGTAAATTCATACCTAATGGGTACAGTGCACACTGTCTGGGTGATGGGCACATTTATAACTTTGATTCAAATGGTACAAAAGCAATTTATGTAACCAAAACATTTGTACCCCCATAATATTCTGAAATAAAATAAAAAAAAA